GCACGGCACCCGCCTCCCTGCCCGCGCATCTCTCCTCCGCTGCCGGCTCCTCTCCCCAGCCGCCCCCTGGGCCACACTTGAGACACCTCATCACCCTCCGGGCTGCCCCCCGCTCCAGATTTTTTTACAGATTTTTTTCATTTGATGCGTTTTCTACTTTTATAAAGTCATGTCCTAACATAGCCGAGGCAGTTGCTCTTCATTTATAATTTTGGTAAATTCAGCACATGTGAAATGCGTATATCCCATTTAACAGCCCCGTCAGATCACAGCCAGGTGCCTTTTGGGAGCTGTCGAGTAAATTCAGAAAATTCCAAATCCTGCAAGTCAGAAATCCCAGAACCACGGATGCCCACGGAATACAAATCCACAACTACCCAGGTGCATATTTTGGCTCCCAAATACTTTAGCGTTAATATTTCAAAAGCTAACTTTGATGATAAAGATTTATGTCAACGTTAGCCAGGCAAAACCTGGTACTTTAATTGAGGTAGAGGGGTGCACGTGCGTGAAAGAGAACATGAGAGCACCAGAATAGAAAATGTGTTTTCCTGAAGCAAATTATCTTAATAGATGATACCTGGCACAAACCTGAGGAAAATGTATAGTCTTATAGAAAGATGTAAGCGTGTGGCTTTCCAGTTGTAGAATTCCTAGCATCCCAAAGGCTTGGCACTTTTGCACTTTATTGCCCTTTTCCTTTCATGCTGCCAACTTCAAAAAACCCATAAGAGAAAAAAAGTATTTTCCTTTCCTGCACAGCGAGAAGGCAGTAAACTGAGCGGTGTAAGATGCCAGTAAAGATCAGAATTCAGAGTGATTTTGAGCCTTGACAAGCAGCTATGGGCATACTGCTGTAATGCCAAGATAACAGGAAAGAAAGAGCACAATAAAACCCAGCGCTTCCAAGATCATCAACTGCAGTTCCCAAGTTTACTCAGTCAATTCCTTAGTTTATTAAGTAAACAAATTACATCTTTAAAAATATTTCTGAATTAAGCATTCATTTTAACTTCAGCAAAACGAACGGATTTATGGATAGGCTGAGAAGTTGCGGCAAGCTTTTGTCACCTCCGTGCCGTGTCTCAGGAGGAACAAGTAGGTGCGTGGTCAGATGAGGAATGTGCATGGCTTGAAGTCCAAAGCAGCATGGCTCTGATAGCAGGATTTTTTTATTTTTTTTTTTTTTTTCTGGGGCAAAGAAACACTTTATTCTGTCAGACAATTTAGCGGAACTATTGAAGGGCTTTTACCGCTTCTTAATCTGTAAAGTCAGCTTCAGACACCTTCTGCCTGCTGGAAAGAACAGAGCTCTGTCAGATGAAGGGAACTGTTGGTGGGGCAGCTGTAGTCTACATGAAACAATTGGTTGCAGCCACACTAATGTCCTGAAAAGGGTTTTGAGCTTTTGGCCAGTTCTGCAGTGAAGAGTCAGGGTGAAATAGCTGCCTGGGCGCAGTTTTAAGCCTGGTCCATGTTACCAAGTCCTTACATGTGGATCTAAATGCGGAGATGCCTTGTAAATGCTGATCTATGTGAAGAAAGGAGGACAATAGTTTCGAAAATCCACCCAGAAGAATGTCCCTGCAAGTATCAGAACTTACAGAAAAGCTGACTGAGGAAAACTTCTAGGGCTAACAGAAAACTCACATTTCATCAGGTGAAGTCCTGCACAGGCTTCATATTCCGTATTTCACACTCAGGCACAAAGCAGTTGGATGAAACCCTTTCCACATGCACATTCTGCATTCATGTAATTATGTTGCTCAAGGTTCATAGCTTATTGTGAGATTTTTTTTTTTTTTTTTAAAGTGTTTTTTTTGTAAAGTGATTCCAAGAAAATTCCCAACAGGGATGTAATTATATGTCAGTATAAAAGTGCTTTATGACATAATGACTTTAATGCTTAATGACTTTCTCTGAAGAAATATATATTTTTTTCTTTTGATCAGTACATACAACTGTACGTTGATAGATCTGTATTGATTTGTAGATTTAAAGCAATACAAATTCGGTACAAAAAACCTCAAGCTGCCAGTTAAACAAATCTTAAAAAAAAAAACCAACCAAAGCAGTGAACTATTTCAGCTATTTCCTCTGAATACTGGTAAGGAAGAATCATTTCTATTTTTAAACACTTGGAAAGTGAAGGCCTATGAAAATCCATGCACAAATCATGAGTCTGCTGAAATCAGGAAAAAGATGAGCAACAAGAAAAAAGAGAGAGCCCGACTGAAGGAAAAAAGAATCAGGAAGAGAGTGTATTCTGTCCATGGAAAATCGTTTTATAAATGCAGCTCTTCCCAAAGTATGAAATATTTTTCTCAGCCATTCATCTGAGTTGCCACTGGAAAGAGGGATCATCTTGGTCAATACAGACTATAAATATTTTATGAGACATTAGTAAAATTGCTATGATCATATTTCCTAGTAATGAGTGCTAACAGACCATTACAAAAATACAATTATTCTAATTAAATACAGCAGTAATCGATACCCTATGCTCTGGGTGAGTTTGCTTCAGTAAATACAGCAGTGCATGGGGTTTTTTTTCAGATTAAAATGTTTAAAAGAAAAAAAAATGCAATAGTTTAATAAACTGGACTACAGTTTTCTTCACAGGCTGCTACATAAAGCATGAATCTTAACTCTCCCCCTGCGTTTAACTACATTCCAGGTAAAGAGCTTCACTGGTTTTCTCTGGCCCAGCTTCAAGAGAACTTAAGCTTTCCTTCCCTAAGTATCTGATGACGGAAGGAAGAATTCTGTAGATCCTTCCCTCCTGCAGCTCCTCACTTGGGCAGACATCACACCTCTTCACTTGTTCCAGACGCTTCTATTTTTCTTTTATAGCTAACTTCAAAGGTAACAGTCCTACTGGAAATTAATTCCCCTTAACGCCCAGTGTTTTCCTGAAATATTCGCTCTCAAAAAGAATTGTTGTCCGTCATTTCTCGGCTCACACATCCATACGTTAAGTCAGAAGCTGCAGATTCACTGCTGACTCTTTAAGTTGTGGATATTCAATGGCACCATCTTGCTGAAGCTGGTGCCAGTGAGAGAAAAATGGCCTCACTTAAATAATGGAAATGGCATTTATTAAAAGGAAGAAGTTGCTGAATCAAGGGCTGTGAGGTACCTTGTCAGCATTTTCAAAGTTGAGGCCGTTTTTAGGAATGAAGAACAACTTGGTGGTAAGTGGAGCTGTTCTCTTTAACTCTTTAGCAGCCCGTGGGCCAAGCGCATCTTTAGGGCTGGGCTCATAGCTCCTACCTGACTGACATCTGAGGAAGGAGATGAAGATTTTGGGAGAGACAGGGCAGTGCTTTAAGGGCCAAAGCAACTGCCTCAACTTCACAGAACAAAGCATTAGCAGTAAATGTGAAAAAAAAAAAATCAACTAGCCACTAGTCAAAAATAATAATCTTGTCTATCCTAAATTGAGAAATGACTTACGAGTTTAAAAAGCTCCCTTTTAATCTGAAAAAAAAAAAGAGCTAATTCTTTTGGGAAACAGCATAAAAGGAAACTTCTGGTGGGGCAGTTTTCCAGTTCTTCCCGATCCCAGACTAACAGTCACAGTGAATGACCTTAAACTCGCATTTCTGCTTGCGTAGCCCCTACCTGCCAGCTGCAGGGATCCTGTTTATTTTAATACTTATTGACACTGGAAAGGAACAGCGTTTGGCAGGAGGCCACAGCCACATGCCAGCGAGGAAACTGTCCCACATAACGTGACCAGATTGTCAGCGCTCCTGATGTTCGTTAGGAATTAAGGAATCCTTCGCTGCCAGTTTTAGCAACTGTTGCAGCTGTGCCACTGGCCTAAATTTAAGCGAAGTCTAAACTTCTGGTCCTTTCATTACACATATTTCCAAAGTCTTCGGGTATTCTGGCAGGCTTAGTTTACCGGCTGCGCTTTACAGACGTGTGTGATGACAGAGACAGCTTCAACAGGGCTCCACAAGAATGCTGCAGTGCAGCCAGGCGGAATCATTTCCAGGATCAAACCCTCGCTCTGGATTTGTGTGTCAGGATCTGTAAGGCTGACTTTCCAAAGCGTGTGACTG